TTCATGCTGTAAATTCATATGGTGAATTCAGAACAACTGTCCTTCCCTTCTTTGGTGTGTGGTATTCAGGAAGGGAGTAGGCTTTCTGGTCTTATGTATTGAATTATGAGGTTGAACCAGAATGGACAGGGTGGGGATGAGGGTAAGGAGGGCTCTTTATCAGGATGAAAAAGGCTGCCTCAGTTAAACTCAAGTGGAATTTTTATCTTGTAGAAGAGGCCAACATGTTTAATGGGCATTTAAAAAGTCCAAATTATAAATGCAAAAGTTTAAAATATATTCACCGACACAAAGCTTATATCCAAAGATCATAACCATACCTCATTTTTAGGACAAATAGGCATTTTCTACATGGCATTGGCAAAAATCACTCAGGGCTTAAATTTTTCCCCTAATATAATTGCATGTCCTGAAATTGTTTTATTACTTGTTGCAAAAATTAATCTTGGAAGTAAAATATATTAAGTAACTCTCAATGATTAATACTTTATATTAATTTCACTTATCATGTAAAAATAATAACAGAACTCAGTGGAAATGAAATGAAGTCAAGGGAAGGGTCACATGAGGAATCTGGGCACCCAATAACAGCCTGAAGTCACCGAGTGGTCCCTCAAAATAGGGAGAGGAGAGCACAGTACTCATGAGAGCACAATACTCATACTCAAAAAGAGAATGCGAAGAGACGCCTAAGGAGCAAACTAGATAATACAGACATCATGTGCATAATTTACATAAATAATATATTTCATATAACATATATTGAATATATATATTTCTAATTCTAATAAATGCACTCACAGTTATTCACGAACACAGACACATACATACGCATAACTCTTCCCATTCTCTCATTTTCCATCCATTTATCTACATTAAATAGTGCTCATTTTTCTTCTATCGAAGGAATAAAATAAAGCCAGACATGTTTCACTCTTGCTCTAACCTCTTTAAGGGGGCTCATTGCCACCTTACCCATCCCAGTCAAATAAGACTTTCTCCTGTGTTTTTAACACACACACAGTACCTCAAAAGAAATGCTATGAGAGATCAATTCACAGTCATGAATCAGTTCCTTATTTACAAGAATATGTTCATTTTAGGCTGTAGAAGAATTGTATTTCACTATGATGCAAATTTAGCATCACAGGTGCACCACATTATCTCCTGTCACCTAGATGAACCTCACTTTAAATCAGAATCTCAATTTATCATTAAAAGTTAAAAATCATGAGCATGGTGTAGATATAAAATCAAGGTATAAATAGAAGTGAATAAGTTGAAAGAGCGAAAGTTTTCAACATTTTGTTTCACACTGATAATCATGTTTTAGTACAAAAAAAGAAATTTAAGCCATAGAACTTAAGCTGTTATTACCTTGAAGTTACAAATCAGTGCCTAAGGCCCATGTACTAGTCGCAGGAACTGTTATTTGACATTGGAGATCCCTGAAGATCTACAAATCAGTAGAGACTAGAAGAAGACAGAGGACACTGAATCTGAAAATGTCCCAGGGACACAGTTCTCCCAATAAAGCAATTAATAACAGGCTCTCTAGTATCCAAAGATGAAGTGTCCAAGGAGATCACTCTGAAAGGATACTTGTGCCTCTCTGATCTTTCAACATTGTTCAAAACTAAGCTAAACTGCAAAGATGTTTAACTTCTCCCCTCATAACCTCCCAATGTTGAGTTTTCTCATTTCTGCTATATCATGTTAAATTTCTATCAATAATCTATTACGTAGTACATATTGAAGTACATACACTAAATATGTCCCGTTGGCTCATACCTTCAAATTCTTTTCATCATAATTTTAAATTTTCTGTCACCTTTTCCTTTCCTCACATCTACGCTGTAAAACTACAGGTCTGGAGCATTTCAACAGGGCCTTTTTCTTCACTTCTTATTCCCTTGAGTGTTGCTGGAGATCGACATACACATATGTTGACTGGTGCTCTTAAAAATTTCTGGTCTCTCTTAACTTCAAATGGGCCTTTTCCAGAAATCTGTATGTGTTCTGCTGTTTGTCTCTTCCATCTCCATCGGAAAAGTTCAACAAATTCTTAAATCCTCCCACTCAGTGTCCCATATCCCTCACGCAGGTCTTGTTCTGACTTCCAAGTAAAACAGAGGCCCCAGGCAGAAATTCCATTAACCTGCCTACCACATATAAAGGTATCCACATTCATATGGGATCCTTCATGCTTTTCTTCACAGCCCAATACAAGAGGTGAACCTTTTTTTGTCTAAGGCTAATTCTTCCAGTATTTTAGAGTCCAAGGAAAAATCATGCACATTCAGGTTCTAGTCAGGTGATATTAATGACTGAGTGAATCAGGTATAAGAAAAACTACTGCAGTAATACAGTGATGAATGGAAACATTTTGCTAAGGTTTATACTGTTATAAAAGAGTGGTAGAGACTTTGACAAACTTTATAGCACACGCCCCACCTGAGGGAAACAACAAGTGCTCAGCTCCAGTTGACTGATTTTCTATGCATTCAGTCCCAGGACTGCAAAATATTCAGAATCTTCAACAGAATCTGGATTTTTATACAAGTCTATTGCTTTTTTGAAAATAATTATTTTATATACAAAAAATAAACAGCTCGTAAAGGTGAAGCTCGATGAAAGGCACAGCTTTATTACATAGTGAACATATCTTGATCAAGAAGTAAAACATAAAAAACACTCCAGATCAACTCCCAAATCCATTTCTATATATACTTGTTTTATCTGTCCCCACGTAACCATTATTATATTTTCTGAACTATATATATAAAACCATTATTATGATATTTTCTGAACTATATATATAAAAATGCAGCATTATTTATATGATAAAATCTATGTAACATGTAAATTAAATTTTATTGTTAATAAAAAGTATTTCATATAACACTATATATTCTCTCAAGGCACAATTCATATTCAGGGATGTATTTTAAATCCACCTGAGTACAAACAGCAGGTATAATGTAATGATTAATGGGATGAAGAAAAGAGGAGAAATAATAAAATTATAAAACAATAAAATAGAGTATCCTATTTTATTGATCAATAAGAGTTTTGCATTATGAAACCTGGGATAATGGGATATGACTCAATTCTATGCAAATTCAATTCTACTGTCTAAAAAGAATATAAATATATATATACACACACCCACACACACATATGGGTGTGGGTATGTGTGTGTATATGTAGGTATATGTATGTATGTGTGTGTATATATGTAAATAAAATACTAGCAGAGAAGGTTTTTACTCTTTGGCAGTTGTAGTTTGATTAATGAGGGTCTAGGTTTTGGGACTGACTGTCTTTTGAAGTCGTACGTATAAGGAATGAAGCCTATTCTTTGATCAAGTTTATCTGTGGCCAAAAGGAAAAACGGAGAGGAGTAGCTAAATGGAATTAATGAATAAAAATATGTATGTGTTCAAACATTTAAGATATGTGAGTACTTATTTATTATCAGAGTAAAGAGTCACAGATAACAAATGCTGAGATAAAATATACAGGAGAGGAGGAAAGAATAAAATCAAAGAGTTTTGGTCCTTGTGGAAATCAGAAAAGATGGAAAACAGAACACAGCTGGAGGGATTACATGCAAAAAGTGAAAGGGCAATACTTCCACTGAGACTGGAGAGCAGGAAGAAGAATGAAGGGAAACCTTCCTAGCTGTAGGGCTGTATTTTCTGTTTCAGTGAAAAATAAAATTAGCCTTACACCTGTTTCCCATGATAGAATTGGATTTCATTCTAGATTTCTTCCTCCCTATCAGCAAATCCCATGGATTCTGCCTTCTTAATATACTTGACTCACTTCTCCTTTCTCCACATATCTCACTCACCATACTATAAATGAGCACTTTACAGACTGTCACAGGACACATTCTCAGGAGCTCCTATCTGCTGAAGCTGGAGAAATGCTGGTTAGGAACATCACCATCAAGAGATAAGTGCTCATTTATCTGTATTGTTCTTACTGTGCTCTAACTCTCTGCTAGATGTCTTCTCTTTACCTTGCAATATTCTTTCTCAAGAGAAAGTTTGTTAAATGGGGTTCAGTCTTTGTTTCAGCTGCGGTCTCAAAAGTCAAGAAGAAACAGTAGCTGCAACAATCTCCACATTCCAAATGAAGACGCTCATCCACTTATGCAGGACTTTCAAAGGAGGTGTACTGGCAGCTGGTTTTGTGACTATATTAGGGAGGCTAGAAAATGCTATAGTAACAAAACATGTAAAACGTCTCCATGGCTTACTACAACAAATATTTCTTTCTCATACAGTATGTCTCTTAAGTTCACTACAAACTCTGCCACATGTCTCCCTCTTAGGATCACAGACTGACAGAGTTGCCAGCATCCTTAATATTGCTAGTAGCTATAGGAGAAGGAAAGAGAGAGCTCTGGAGGATCTTACATTGGCAATTATATGTTCTGGCCTGGAAATAACACAGGTTACTTTTGCTCACAACTCACTGGCCAGAACTGGGGCTTACCCAACTTCAAAGGTTTATCTATCTGCATGTTGGGATGGAGAGGGACAGCCTTGTTACACGCTAAGGGAGCTGAAAGTCATGGAAAACATTATGAATACTCACTATGGTGGCCCTTAGCTGATCATTCCTATTCAGATTGGAGAAATGAGAGATGGGACTTGAAGAACAAAATGTGGATTCATTTGGTGAGGAACATGTTGCACATTCTTCCTTCTCACCTCTAGCCAGGTATAAAGTATTTGGTGGATGACTTGGAAATTTTGGTAGGTGTTGCTGGCTGTTTGGTGAATAGAGCAAGTGGATTTATAGTAATTGTGTAAAAATACATAAATATGAGAGACTGAGTGAAGCAGTCTTTAGCTACATAGTAGAGAAAACCTTGCTGCTTAACTTCTCCTTTTTCAAGGTTCAGAAACTGCTTTTATCAAGCTAGAGGCATAAAATAAGATGCACAAGGTGGGGAACTAGAGGCTTTTGTTACATTCATATTCCCATTGCAGGGTCTCAGACTGGAACAGGCTTAAATTACAGGAGGCAGAGAGGAGACACAGAATGTTTAATCACAAATTAATTGTGACCTGAGAGCAGACATTTTAATTACTGAGATGAGAATTTTTTTTAGTAAAAGTGGACTTCTTTTACCATTTGAAAATGACCAGAAAAATCATGGCAAATTCTAAGATGAAAAGAACCACTACCGTGGTATGGACAACAGAAATAAAAGAATAAAGCAAATTTTTTCTTCTGTTTTAGTAATGCCGGTTGAGTAGTCTCATCATTGTTAACATATTGGTAGGCAAGCCCTGCTGAGCTTTGCTAGGAGCCACACACTCTGCCAAGCAGGTTACATGCATTCTCTATGAAGTTGATACTATTTCATTCAGTATAGATTTGGAAACTTTATCTTCTAGAGGTTAGGAAATTTGTTTTGAGAATTATAACCTAGTTTGGCATGACTCTAGTGTCCAAAACCTTGTACATTACAAGGCATTCCCTAGAGCTCAGAGGATTGTGCACCCTTCCTAGCATAATATACAGATCCTTCTGTGATTTGTTCATTTTACTCTGCAAGTGTATTTCCTATCATTTCCTATTATACTTTCTCTCCCCTAACTATAATAGAATACTTGAATTCCTTGGAAGATCCAGTTTTTTTATATATATTAATCAGTACATAAAAAATGACATGATAATGCTGAGGAGGAAGAAGTTACAACGGAGTGATAAGGACATATTTTTGGAATGGATGAGATTTAAGTTTGACTTTGAGAAATAGATAAGGTATAAAGTGCATAAGATTAATTAAAAAATTCAGAAACTGCTGGGTGTTTAAATAGAAATTGAACATAGGTTGAATGAAGGTATGCTGAGAAAGATAGATGAGATAAATTTGACCAAGATGATAGAGAACCTGAGATTTTATGCTTTTCTAGAATTTATTCTGTAATGATTTGGGAA